TTGTCCTTTTTCAATGCATAAAGCACTGGTAAAGAAACTGAACAAATCCACTAATATCAGCTAAAAGATATGTGTGTAAAAGTGTAACGAACTCTTTCCTTTTACTGTGGCTTGATTATTTTGAAAAAAAGGAAAAAACAAAACAAAACGAGGCACTCCGAAAAAACCTAGAAATCATTTGAAATGATGATGATGATGGATATTGATGTCATGATGAAAAAAAAAATTCAAAAATACCAAAAAAATCTAAATTTGGTTTTTTGTTTCGTTTTTTGTTTCACATTCATTCGTTCAATCATCATTTCTGGTCATGTCATGTTTGATATTTTTTTTTCTTACTTTCGATAATGAAAACCCGTTCGAAACATTTTTGTTTTTGGAAAATTCAAATAAAGAAGAGAAAAGTTATTGAATGTCAATGTTTTTTTTTCAATGTTTTGATGGATGGATAACGGAGGATGGTGGTCATTTCATCTGACATCTGACATCTAAATATGACTTATCAGGATTTAATTAATTATAAGATTAAAAATAGAATTAAAAAACCAGTTATTGATCAAACTTCCTGATATTTTTACCCGTTTAATCTTTTTTCTCTTGTTTTGGTTTTGGTTGATTTATCCTTTAAATAGAAATATTTTAGCTATTAATGTTTCAGAATTGAAAACAAAAACGAAATTATTTCATAATTTTTGAAAAAAATTCATTTAGAAACACATTTCAAAACCACTAGATGGCAGCTATAGTTTTTGGTTTGATAAAAAAATTCGAGATTTTTTTTTACTTCAAGAATATGATACAAGGATTTTATTGATTAAAATTTTGGATTCAACAAAAAAAAATACAGGATAATAAAATTTCACAGAATTCATTATTTGCAATAACAATAATAATAATTTTTTTAGTCCTAATTCTAGAATGAATCTTCATCCAAAATCGTTGTTATCAAACCCAATTTAGATGATGTGTTGGATGGCGAATGATGATGCTGTACAATGCTGCTGCTAGATGATAATGGATCAACATTCAATTCAATTATACATGATTCACCATTATAATATGAACCTTTAAATTTTCTAAATGATGATTGAAATTGTTGATGTAATATACGATCATTAGGCATTTGTTTTGTTAATGATTGCCAACGTTTTGGTGGCCATATTATATATTTTGCTTGTGCTGTTATTAAACCAACCGAAACTGGACCAAATATATTTGAATCCATTGATTTCGTATGATTATCACCTTCAACCCAACAATGTCCTTTCGGTATACGTATTGTTTCGAATTTAAAATTTCTTCTTGTAACAACAGTATCACCTTCAACACCAATTACACGTTTTATAATAATTTGATTTGGATTATTCGGTGATATTAAACTAACAATATAACCACGTTCAATTTGATAATTACGTGTTGCCCAATGTGATAACCATATTAAATCGGATGAATTGAAACGATTGAATAATAAATTTTTAATATTTATCGATCGTCGATCATTGTCGTTGAATGCTGTTTTTAATTTCTGAGTAATTCTGTTGCTGTTGCCATTTAAATCAATCTCATCATCATCAGTATTATCATTATCATTGAAATTATTTTCATCATAATCACAGGGATTTAATGTTGGTTGCATAGAAACACCATCAACACGTGCAATATAGGCAATATTATCAAAAAATATTAATGTTAATGGTACTGATAATGATAATGTACGGACTAGATTTTTTATACTAAATACTGAAGACATTTGGATTTGATTCGACAAAAATATATATAGCCGATGTGAAGAATACTTTTTTTTGGGTGAATTTGTAAATAAAAAATTCTTCAAAACAAAAACAATGAAAATAAAAACAATGTTTCGATTTGTTGAAAGTCGTTTTTTACCCTGTATTCATGAATGAAAACATCATATAAACATCCAGTTTATATGATGCAAGTTTTTCAAGAATAATTTTTTTTTTGTTTCACACAATAAATTCTTGAACATTCTTCCTGTTTGTCAAAAAAAATCCAGAATGATATTTTTAGTTTTTTTCCTACATATTTTGATTGATATCAATCTGGTTGGTCGATCATTAATTCCAATCATTACTTGATTTAAACAAAACGAAGGCCACCATCAACGACAGAATCGATGATGGTGGTGGTGGTGAACCTCCCACGACAATGATGGAATTTTTTCTTTCGGAAGAAAAAAAAGTCATCGTTTCGGTCAATAGTCGTCGCTATTTGTATCAAATTTCATATAAATTTGCGAGAAAATTCAAAGCGAAATGCTCATGCACTCGGAATATATTTTTCGTTCGTTCGTTCGTATTCGAGTAAGACGACGCATTCCATTCCGGCATCATCGTTCGTTATATTTAGTCGTTATCAAAAAACAAACTTAACAGTCACATAACCGACCAGACCAGACCAAGACCAAGAATCATAGTTTCATTTCATTTTCAATGTGCTACTTGGTCGAATCATCATTTCCAAAAAAATTCCATTTCTCTGTT